AACGTATCTCGCTTATCTTGATTATCTCTTTCGAAAGTGTTCCTTTATTTTTTTTTTATTTTGACGACGTCATCATGGTCAAAAAGAATGAATTTTTGGAGCCCTCTTATCTCTTTTTGATTTTGTCAAAAATATTTGACGACAGAGAGGGCGGCAGAGTGTATTTCGACGCTATCAGACTGACAGTACATATGAAGGAAAAATTTGTTTAGCATTACCAACAAAGATGCGTTTTTAAATTACACTTGACAAGGTTCAATTTCGTGTGCCATTACCGTTCACGCACACGTCGGTGCATGTGCGGAAAAATTTAGAAATTCTCAATATCACTATTCGGATAAGTTAAAGCAAGTTTCAGAACATTTTCAGCATTGCAAAACATTCCATATTTTATCCACCATACGCTCATTTCTACGCACGCAGCACGTACTGAAGCTGGAAATTACGGTTTGTTACTTTTTATAGGGTTCCTGACACTGTATTCACATAAGGAGTTAATATTTTGTGCCATTAACATGCGCACAGGCTCAAGACGTCCGCGTACGCAAGCGTAAATCTTTTCAAATGTTTCAAATTACACTTTTTTCAAAAACTAACTAGAGCATTTTTTTTTATTCCATTTTGAAAATTTATTAACATTTCAATCTGCACCGCTTGCGCTTCCTGAGGGTCGAACTGCGGTGGATCACCAAACTCGTCCTCACTGACGAGTTCAAATCTAGTTGGTGATCCGCTCCGCTAGCGGATCACCTCTTGTTATTGTCAGAGATCTTTTTTTTTTCCAATTTCTTGTTAGCACGATATCTAAAAATTGGCACGAGATTCATACATGCACGCTTCAACAAGCATTTAGCTTGCCCTGGAATAGTCACAATAAGGTTTTCAAGGTGCGCAGTTATTCGTGACGTCATCTACGCGCAATTTTGCGTTTTTACATTATCGATCATATCAGCCTAACCAATTGCCATTTTGAAATCGTATTAAGTGAGCCTTAACTTCAAGTCAATGTTAAATGTAATTTATCCTAAGTTTACGCGTGCGCGTCATAACGCGCGAGTACGCGTTCGTCAAACTTTTAAAATGCTAGAAATCTCATTTGGATTAAATTAGAGCACGTTTCATGCCATTTTGTGCATTTCAAAATTTTTTGAAATTTACCACTACGCGTGCGCTTTTTACGCGCGCAGCACGTATGGAAGCTAGAAATTATTTTTTTGTCACATTTTGGGTTCCTGACATTGTTTTGACAAGTTTCCAATCTTTTCAATCACTCTATGGCCAATAACAATGCCGTACGCACGCATCAAACATTGTGACCTTTGAGCGCATTTGTGCCGATATACAGTGAAATTTTGCTCAAATCAGGCCTAATTTTAAACAGTTCCAACTATTTAGGATGAGAGCTGACCCCCAATTTTTATTACATATTCTGCACATGAGTTGTAAATATGATTTTATAGGTCATAATGGCTGATCGGACATTATGACATCATCATATTGCCATCGGAATTCAACAAACAATATTATCGATGACCTCATTTTAGCAAATGATCGATTTTCTTCCAACTTTTAGTATGTTGTAGCTGAGGCAATTCTCTTTTATATATGAGGCAATTCTCTTTCATATATGTGGCATTTCTTTACATTTTGATGACGTCATCATGGTCAAAATACAGGGTTTTGCTTACCCTCCTCATCTTTCTTTCGTCCAGCCTTTGATGACCCCATAATCACCTTAATCAGTCGTGATTTTTGAATCATATTTAGTGGATATAAACTTCAGGTCAGGGTTAAATGTTATGTACATTATATTTATGTGCGCGCGTAATAATGCGAGCGTTCGCGTGCGTCAAAATTAATATATGCTTTATATCATGTCTTTTTTTAATAAGTTATAGCCCCTTAGGATGAAAGGTGACCCCTAACTTTTATTACATATTCTGAAAGCACATGAGCTGTAGATATGATTTTATATATCATAATAGCTGATCGGACATTGTGACGTCACCATATTGCCATCTGAAGTAAAAAAATGAATTTTTATATATGATAAATATTATGAATGATCATTACTCCTTCACCAACAGGCGTTTGTCAATGAAAGTTGATACATATATATCTCATATCAGGAGACAACAGTGACATTAAGATGCGCACGTGCGTCATGAGGTGCGCGTACGCATGAGTAAATCTTATAAAATGCTCCAAATTCTTTTTTAACAAACTAAATTAGCGTATTTTGCCATTATCAGCATTTAAATATTGTTCAATTCGCACCGCGCACACTTCCTCGTGGGTCAAAGTGCGGCGGATCACCTAACTCGTCCTCAGTGACGAGTTCAAATCTAGTTTTTATTCTTCTTTCTTTCTACCCTTTTTGTTTGCACGATATCTCAAAAAATGCCACGAGTTACGCACAACCGCTCTTCAACGAATATTTGGCTTGGTCTGGAAGTCATGGTAAGCTTTTCAACGCGCTCAGTCATGCGTGACGTAATCTACGCGCAATTTTGCGTTTTTACATTATCGATCATATCAGCCTAACCAATTGCCATTTCGAAATCGTATTAATTGAGCATAAACTTCAGGTCCATGTTGAATGTACTGTTCCCTAATTTTACGCGTGCGCTTCCTAACGTTCTCATTTTTTTTTTAAATCCTCGAAATCACTTTTTGACTAAATTAGATCACGTTTTAGGCCATTTTGGGCATTTCAAATTTCTTTTAAATTTTCCAATACGTGCGCGCACATTTACGTACACAGCACGTACGAAAGCTAGAAATTACGTTATTTTGCATATTTCGGGTTCCTGCGCGTATTTGTGCCGATATACAGTGAAATTATGCTAAAATCAGGCCTATTTTTAATTAGTTATAGCTCCTTAGGATGAAAGGTGACCCCGAATTTTTATTGCATATTCTAAAAGCACATGAGTTGTAGATACGATTTTATAGATCAAAATGGCTGATCGGACATTGTGACGTCATAATATTGCCATTTAAACTAAGAAAAAACTGAATTTTTATTTATGACGTCATTACTTTTTATACTCGTTTGAACGTATCTCGCTTATCTTGATTGATTGTCTCCCACCTGTGAGTATGTTATAGCTAAATCAATTCTCTTTTGGACGTGTCCCTTTATTTTTCAATTTGATCACGTCAGCATGGTCAAAAAGAATGATTTTTTAGAGCACTATTATCTCTCATTCTTACAAGATGTAAAAAATAGAACACAGAGAGGGCGGCAGACTGTATTTCGACGCTATCAGACATCTATATAGGTTATATGGAGGGGAAATTCGTGTGGCATCACCAACTAACAGATGGTTTTAAAAACTCATAACTCCTTAGGCATCGATTTGGGAACTTAACAAATACAAATCATCATGCAATACTCTGCTGCTGCTGCGGCTGTTTATTCTTCATCAATATATACAAGAAGAAATATTTCCTATAAAAAAAAGCCGCAACTTCAGTAGCTTATTCAATTTGTGTATAGGTACTTCCAAATTTATCCTATGAGTCAATTAAGTTATCGTATTTAAGTTAGCTGTTTCAATAAATGAATCTGTAACTGTAATTTCCTATATAGATCAATACATAATGTCGAAATAAGCTCACAAAAACTAGAATGAGAATCCGATGTAATTTGTATCTTTCGATTTATTAAATCGTTCCATTCAATTCTGTAAATAACAAAAGAAATTGACAAACACTCTTAAATAAATAAATCAGCGAATACAATCAAGATCAATCTATCAAATTACAGCATAAATCAATAACCCAAACTTACTGTTTTGCCAGATTCTCAATTTACCGTTCTGTTCTTGGTTAGCAACTTTAGTAAATGAACCTTGTGTGAAGAATTAACCTTTAAACAAAGAAATAATGTCTTAAAATTAACTAGAATAAAACATCTTAAATAACAGACCAAGTTATTAATACAACAGTTACATAAACTCAAAATACAGGTAAAAACATCAATCCTTGCCCATAACAATTGAAAAATCGAACATGACCCGTGCTTAGAAAATTGGTACGAAAGTATAAAAACTAAGTCTCAATACACACGCACAGTTTAAAAATAAGATTCAACCCGGTTAAACATTGCAATCATAAATATACATTACTGTACTACAGTAAAACCCCAATTAAAATGCGATTAACATACATTAATTAACAATGAACATGACTTAAAACAGCAACAAGGCAAAACCAAGATAGGCAAGCCAGATCAATCCAAGCAAAGGCTAGTGAAACCAAGCGGAAACTGAAACCGCATTATTGTACATTAGAACAAAGGGATTCTCAATAAACAGCCTAGCTCATCTAATTATGAACATGCTAAACATAATCCCAAATATTGACTTAAATTGACCAATGTCAACAACTATAATGTATACAAATATGATCAGTAAACTTACATCTATTAATCAATACCAATGATTCCATAGCCAAGCCTGCAGAAACACACTTTTTAACAATATTTCTGTTACAAACTTGAGAACAAACGTCCCGCTCGTGAATATTTCTTGGCGTCCTAAATACCAAAAATTAAAGGGTGCTATATAACAATTAAAGAACACAGCGTTCTTTACACTCCCCCACACACTGCGAAAAGCAGTCTGGTAGATACCGGGTACTTAACAAATATACAATAAAACAATACAAAATCATAATCTTAAACCATTTAATAACAAACTATGACTTGTCTTGACAGTATTAAATCAATTTACAATACTTTATTTAGTTTAATTATTTTAATAATTTCGTTTAATTTAACTACAGGTCGTTTGTATATTTTACCACTAATCTCGACATCTGCAGTTCTGACATTATTATCAACATTTGGATAAACTTCTTTAACTTCACCAATCACCTCTGTGAGCCTGTTGATCAATCACTAACACTTTATCTCCTCTCTGTAAATTATCTGCCTCTTTGACCCATTTCCTCCTTATTTGTTGACTGGGCAGATATTCTAAAACAAATTTCTTTCAGAATAAGTGTACGATCAATTGACTATGCCGCCATTGCTTCTTGCTTTTTATCTCTTCCCTCTGGTCAACCGAAACAAACGGTAAGACTGGATCCCGTCGACCCATAAGAAGCATATTATTGGGAGTTATCGGATCTACATCTGAAATGTCAGATGATGCATAACCCAGTGGCTTCGAGTTCATTAAACCTTCTACTTCCGTTACAACTGTTTGAAACACAACTTCTGGTACCACACGCTCTTTCATACAACATCTCAATGCATGTTTAATTGAGTTGACCCCTCTCTCCCAAATTCCGCCAAAATGAGGAGCACTAGGAGGATTAAAGTGGAAAGACACCTTTTGACTTGCTAATCTGGTTTGCAAATCCAAACTCATCTGTCGGAAACTGTCCTGCAGCTCCTTCATTGCACCAGCGAAATTAGTACCGCAATCACTAAACAACTCTTTTGGGTACCCCGTCTAGCTACAAATCGTCAAAAAGCCATGATGAAGCAATGACTAGTCATAGATGATAATAATTCGATGTGGATAGCTCTCGTTGTCATGCATTTAAATACTAGACCCCATCTCTTCTCAGTTCTTCTTCCCAGTTTCACTTGATACGGCCCAAAGCAATCCATACCAGTGCTGTAAAAGGCAGGTAACCCGATGCGCAATCTAGCTTCAGGAATGTCAGCCATTCTTGGAACTTTAGCTTTTCCTCTCCATCTTTGACAGTCTGGGCAATTTCGCAATACTGACTTGACGGCACTCAGACCCTTTAAAATCCAGTATCGTCTTCTTATGCAACTGAACACTTGTCCATAACCGGCACTATGATTGGAAGCATTACTATTGACTCTCTTGATCAATAATTGCGTAACAGGATGTTTTTGGTCTAAAACAATCGAATGTGCATCAATTTCTATGTTGCTCGCTCTTCTTAGCCGTCCACCAACTCTTATCAATTCTACTTCACTATCAAACTCAGGCGCTAGATTACTTAGTCTACTGCTTTTCTGCTCTGGCTTACCATTCTTAAGTAAAGCATATTCTTCCGCAAAGGCTTCTCTTTGTGCTCTCTGCAACATCATTATTTCCAGCTTGTTGATTAGATTAGCATCAATGTTCTCATTATCGCCTTGCATCTTGGCGGGGTACGCTTCTTGAAGATCTTCCCATCTTTCAAATGACTGTAAATCTATATCGTCGCCCAACTTACTTGAAATCTGTCCACAAAAGACTGATCTTTTCCCTTCACAACTAGCTTCATCTTTGCTGTCGATCTTCTTATCAGGTCATTCCTTTATAGGATACTTTAAAAAATCTGGTCCTTTAATCCAACGACCACTTAACTCATCCGCCTTCACACCCCGGGATAACTTGTCAGCAGGATTCATCAGACCCGGTACATGTCTCCACGTCGCTGCTGCAGTCTTATTTTTAATTTCCCTTACTCGCACTGAAACAAATTGCCTAAACCAGCAAGCTGGTTTCTTGAGCCATCATACTATCCGAGAACAGAATTGTTTCCTGGAACTTGAATGCCGATTCAGTTATAACTGTTTCAGTTAGTCGTGCAGCAAGTACGGCAGCCTGCAGTTCCAATCGCGGTATAGTCAACCTTTTCAAAGGAGCAACTTAGACGCCAACAACCTGCAATCATATGTCCCATCTTCAAGTAGCCATCTGCTGTAGGCACAAGCACCAAATTCTTTCTCTGATGCATCACAGAACACCATCAGAGATACACCGCCTGTAGCTGCCGGTGGCGTCAAACATCTCGGGAACTTCAACTGGTTTAACTTCTTAAATTCTTCAAACATTCCCTGCCACCCTTGCTGTGTTTTCTGATCTAATACTTCATCCCAACCGACCTTTGCTTGCACAACTCCTGCATTTTGATTTTCGCGGTTATTACTACCGGGGCCACTAGCCCAATCGGATCAAAAACCTTAGCCATTACTCCAAGAACTGTACGCTTAGTGAAGCTGCTTATTTCAACATCTATGTCAAAAGTGAAACTGTCATCGCTTGTGTTCCATTGTACACCTAGCACTTCTACGATACTTCACATCTTCACAGAAGGACAAATGTCATCCATGTATGAGTTATGATAAATAGCATAAGCTGCTTTAGGTAACTTCTCAGAGCCTTCTTTAGCCGTTAACTTCAGCGCCGTAATAGCCATCGCAGCTGCTGGTTTATCGCCGAAGGTTAGCACCTGTTTAATGTAAACCCCTGGTTCCCTATCTGTCTTGAAATTCCTCCATAGATATCGATGCACATATTGGTCTATCTCTGGAATCAGTATTCGATGATACATCTTTGAGATGTCCCCCACAGTGCCACTTTGTGTTCCCTGAACCTCATAATAACTCCCTGAATATTGTTTAGCATGTCTGGACCCTTCATCCAATAGTCGTTGAGGGACTGTCCGTTGTGCTTGTTTGATGAATTGAATACAATCCTTAGTGGTGTACTCGTACTGCCCTTCTTCAAAACTGAATGGTGCGGTATGTAGTGCACTGGTCCCTTATAATCAGACATCTCCTCTAACTCCAGTTTTCTTGCGAATGCCAATTCCAACATCTCACTCATCTGTTGATCATATGCTTTAGCACGTTCTGTATTCTTCATTAATCTCTTTTCCAAACCAATGAGCATTCTTTCAGCTTGATAACGATTATCCATTAGTCCTGTCGGACCTTGAGCCCAGGGGTAAGGTATAAGCCATTGTTCGCCTACCTTCATACATGATTCTTGTATGAGTTTTCCTTCAAGTTCCTCATCAATATCCCTTGGTTTACATTCACACGTCTTCAGATTCACACCCATTGATTCGGTTGTCCAGAACTCAGTTAAGTCAACTGCCTCATGAATTTTAACATGCATAACACTATTGTTGTGGTTATCATTTGTCACCTTTCCCCCCATCACCGTCCAGCCAAATGGAGATTTCTGTACAACCATGTTGTCACTCTCTAACATCTCACCAGTATGCAGCTTAGGATGATTATTACCTATGAGCATATCAACCTTTCCCCCTCTTCTTCTGAGTGATGCTTTCTGTAGTCCAAAAGCAGCTTCAATGTGTCTTAATTCTGCATCAGGAATTTCCTTGGCTTCAGTGATGTCATCCATCATTAGGGCTGTCACATTCTCTATACCATTGTTACTCCTAAGCTTCAATATCAAAACCTTAGAATTCACCACAGATTCCGCTCCGCCAACTGTCGTTATGGTTGCCGTGACATTCTTACCCTTCAGTCCCTTGGCAAATCCTTTTCTTACAAATGTTCCTTGGGATCCATTATCGAGTAGCACGTTTGCCCAATGAGCCTTACCATCAATAATGACTTCTACGTCAACCAACCTCAGCATTGGTTCTTGCAAGCATTCCAAATTAGCAACCCCTGTAAAACAAGCTTGCACCCTTTCACCGGCATGCAGCATCTTGTGATGATACTTTAGACACGGACCAGATGTCTCACCGCATTGTTTCTTACGATTACAGCTGTCTTGTCTATGATTTTGTCCCGCTATCCTCAAACAAGAGAAACAAACATGATTACTTTTACAAAGCTCGTACCTGTTAGACACAGACATCTCCTTGAATTTATGGCATTGGTCGGTCCAGTGCTCATTGTTGTTACACACCCAGCACTTGTTCGGTCTTTGCGATGTTACCGCATTCGTCTGGTTAACCTGAATACGCCTTGAAGGAAATGCCTGTTTCTTGTCATTCTTTGGGTTTCCCATTTCACCAAAAACAGGATCAGATGCTTCAGCTGCAGCCTTCTTGACAAATCGCACTGCATCCTTCAGCCTAACATCCTCTCCAGCCTCTTTGATCGTTTGGTTCTCAGTCCTCCATCTGTTTTGTAAAAACTTTGGAAGTTTGTTAATGATTTGTTTAAGACTGGCTTGATTATCAAGCTCATTTAAATAACCCAAAGCATTTAAATTCTCATGGCAATTCTCCAAATTATATGCAAATTCACTTAACTTTACCAAGTCAATACTACTTTTATCCATTATCTTAGCAATCCATGCTTGGCTTACTACCGACTTGTTACCAAACCTATCGGCTAAATCTTAAGAGCAGCAACAAACCCCTCTTCCGGTGGTTTCATTACAGTGAACTTAATTGAGGCTCTAGCTGCCCCAGTACATGATGACAACAATGTATTTAATTTAAAATGATCAGGTACATCTTTAATTAAGCTGGTAAATGTAGCTAAGAAGGAATGATAAGTAAGCGGATCACCGTTAAACTCTCGAATATGAGCCTTAGGAAGTGAAAGGGCTTGCATCACACCAGTCAAATTACCATTAGCATTTACACTAAGATTTACATCATTCTGTACCTTATCGGCCACTTGGACATTTCCTTTGACTTTACAAATAACTTTCCTGATACTCATGTACTCTTTTCTAATTTCATCCAACCACTTATCTTCTTCCTCTTCCTGCGCTTCATCAACTTGCTTCATTACGCCTTTTTTGTATCCTGCAGTTTATTCCACTGTACCTTTAATTCGTCTGCTATCTCCTGGACAAATGCTATCGCTTCATTAGACACAATTGCTGTCGTCAATTCATCGATCAAACGCTTGGTTTCTCGTCACGCAGCTCGTCCTTGTCTCTTGGACTCTTCCTTGTTACACGTCTGGAAGCCAACTTCTTGTTTCCCCCGATGAAACAAACAAATTGAATTGTACGGAAAGTCGAAATAAGCTCACAAAAACTAGAATGAGAATCCGATGTAATTTGTATCTTTCGATTTATTAAATCGTTCCATTCAATTCTGTAAATAACAAAAGAAATTGACAAACACTCTTAAATAAATAAATCAGCGAATACAATCAAGATCAATCGATCAAACTACAGCATAAATCAATAACCCATACTTACTGTTTTGCCAGATTCTCAATTTACCGTTCTGTTCTTGGTAAGCAACTTTAGTAAATGAACCTTGTGTGAAGAATTAACCTTTAAACAAAGAAATAATGTCTGAAAATTAACTTGAATAAAACACCTTAAATAACAGACCAAGTTATTAATACAACAGTTACATAAACTCATAATACAGGTAAAAACATTAATCCTTGCCCATAACAAATAAAAAATCGGACATGACCCGTGCTTAGAAAATTGGTAAGAAATTAGAAAAACTAAGTCTTAATACACACGCACAGTATAAACATTCAGATTCAACCCGGTTAAACCTTGTAATCATAAATATACATTACTGTACTACAGTAAAACCCCAATTAAAATGCGATTAACATACATTCATTAACAATGAACATGACATAAAACTTAAGGCAAAAACAAGATAGCCAATCCAGATCAATCCAAGCAAAGGCTAGTGAAACCAAATGGAAACTGAAACCACATTATTGTACATTAGAACAAAGGGATTCTCAATAAACAGCCTAGCTCAGCTAATTATGAAAATGCTAAACATAATCCCAAATATTGACTTAAATGACCAATGTCAACAACTATAATGTATACAAATATGATCAGTAAACTTACATCTATTAATCAATACCAATGATTCCATAGCCAAGCCTGCAGAAACACACATTTTAACAATATTTCTGTTACAAACTTGAGAACAAACGTCCCGCTCGTGAATATTTCTTGGCGTCCTAAATACCAAAAATTAGAGGGCGCTATATAACAATTAAAGAACGCAGCGTTCTTTACAAATATTGTAAAGTTTACAATCGAGGGTTTGGTATGGTATAATTTTTATTTATTTATTTATATTTTTTATTTGTAGGGTGTTGTGAAGTACCTGAGTAGAGATCTGGGAATAAATGTAAACAATTTATTTGTTTTAAGTAGCAGGCGTGTATAGACCCAGGTAAAAATTCCAGTTAGACCAGTTGGAACTGGAACCAGTTACGGAATGTGTTTTTGGACAATTCAACTGGTCCCAGTTCCAACTGGTCCTAACTCTAACTGGTTTTAAATTCCAGTTGGACCAGTTGGAACTGGAACCAGTTGCGGGTTGTGTTTTTGGACAATTCAACTGGTCCCAGTTCCAACTGGTCCCAAATTCCAGTTTGACCTGTTGGAACTGGAACCAGTTGGGTGTTGTGTTTTTGGACAATCCAACTGGTCCCAGTTCCAACTGGTCCCAATTCCAACTGGTTTTAAATTCCAGTTGGAACTGGAACCAGTTGAGTGTTGTGTTTTTGGACAATCCAACTGGTTCCAGTTCTAACTGGTCCCAGTTCCAACTGGTCCCAATTCCAACCGGTTTTAAATTCCAGTTGGAACTGGAACCAGTTGAGTGTTGTGTTTTTGTGACAATTCAACTGGTCTTCAACTGGTGTCAGTTCCAACTGGTCCCAATTCCAACTGGTCTTCAATTGATCCAAGTTCCAAATGGTTTTCAATTGGTCCAAGTTCCAACTGGTCTTCAAGTGGTGCCAGATCCTTTTTGTAAAATAGCAATGGCTTTAATCAACTCCTGTAGACTTACAAAAAACACTGAGTTTAAGATATACAAACCATAATTTCTTTAATTAAAAACTTGTTTAAGTCTTCTGCTACACATACTGTACTCCAAATTCAAGCTTATTCTAGAGTCCTTCTCTTTACAGTCCTGTATAAATCAGCATTTCTGTCCGTAATATAGGCCTATTATATTAAAGCATCACTAAAGTTTATTACTGTATATAAAACAATAATCACAAGAACCTTGTGTGTTAGCATGCATTAACCATCATTCTTTGTATATTGAAGCAGCTGCCACAATGATGCTTTTTCATGTCCGATGGTAGCAAGCTAAATTAAAATTCTTGCTAAAAGATCAGATAGTATGAATTCTGCAGTTGAACAAATCAAGCTTGAAATATTGAATCACGTTGGCTTGTACTAACTTTTTTCGGAGTTTTACACTTGCTGAAATATATAACAATAACAAAATCTGAAATAAGAATAATAATGGCTAACTTATATATAGAGCACATATTATGGAAACCTCTATGCGCTTTTAAAAACGAAAAAAACATGCCAAGAATGTAAAACAGAGCATATGCATTTCATCGTGCTGGGCATTTTAAAACCCTTTTTTGAAAAAATAAAAATGAATGAAAAATCAGACTATACAGGTCAATTATAAGAAATTAAGGGGCAGGGGAAAATGACCTTTTGTCAATTTAAATACCTATGCTCAATTTTTTTAATTTTTAAAATAATCTTAATTAAGGTGATATATGTCTAGGAAAACGAATTAAATTGTATTAAATGTACCTTAATAAATAAAATTTTAAATGTGTTATATCCCTTCGAAATTAATGTATAAGTATGATATGCATAATGTACAGTAGCTAAGATAAGTAAGAAACTAGAAGTTTTGTTTTTTTTTTCAAAAGTGAATTATCAGTTTCCATTCCTGTTTTTTTTTTTTAGTTTTCAAAACAGTTACAATTTTAATGTCCCTTATAGGCCAAATCAAAGGGTATAAATAGAACAAAAGTGTGTACTCCCGTTTATAGAAACGTCGTAGCTGTGTAGAATGCCCACGTTCATTTGTGTACTGACGTATGCCCGCTATTTACTTGGCAAGTAGAAAAACAGACATGAAAATGGTACAGGACGTGGGGAGACATACAAATGACAGCGGGCATCTTACACTGGCTGCGTACTAGGGCATATCGCTTGTTTACCCTCTCAATGAGTGCAGTTGGCTCTTTTGTTCCATTTGGCCTAATTACGTACACATTAAATTTGATTACTGATCTCCCTCTAATGAAAGACCGCTCCAATTAAAGACTACCTATAAATAAAGACCACTTTTCTGTATTCGCAAATTGACTATGTCTTATTTTTACTATTCTAACTAGAGACCGAAGCTGCTAAAGACCATGAAAATCTCGGTCCCAAAAGTGGTCTTTGATTGGAGGGAGACCTGTATTTAATAACCGTCATCATATAGTAACTACAGTACATATTATTTATTTTTTTAAGCATGTTGCTAATTTTATTTTAATTTTATTTATTTATTTATTTATTATTTATATGTACATGTGTGTGTGTGTATATATATATGTATGTGTATGTGTGTGTATATTATGTATATATGTGTGTATGTGTGTATGTATGTGTGTATGTATATATGTATGTGTACGTGTGTATGTGTATATATATATATATATGTATATATATATATATATATATATTAGTTAAATTTTTACTTAATTTTAATTTCATTTTATATTACAGTACAGTATATTATATTGGTTTTGGATTTTGTAATGCTAATAATTTTTTTAGAAGATGAGATTGTGTATTGTAATATTGCATTATATTATATTATGTTGTTTTATGTATGTTAAAAGCAATAAAATAATTAAAAAAAAAAAAAAATGTTGCTAATCAGAACCTAGGACCAGTAAACTTAAAACCTAAAGAAAACATTATATTTCACCTTTGGCGAAAGCAGGTAATTTTCTGTTTGTTCAATCAACTGCCAGACACAGTAAGGCTTCAGACAGACATTCTGAAATAAAAGTCACCATTTATACTAATTAATAATTGGTGATTACATACATCAACTTTCAGCAAATAATAATTGCTAGACTAGCCTTTAACCCCACCCCGGTTTAGGCCAGGCCCTACCCCTAAACACCAACTTTATTTCAATAAAGCATGCATTTGATAGCCTATATTATAATGATTATGAGAACACAGCCTAATTACCATTCTCATAACTAAACAGGCTATGAGGCAAGGCTGCAGTTTAGCTAGGCCAACAAAGGCCCTATGGCCATCCCTAAGGCTACGCTAGCCTAGCCTATCTATATCCTCACTGAGGATAAATAGCTGGCATAGAGAGAGAACAGTGTGAACTGTCTATGCCTATGACTATGCCTATGCATTATGCACAAATGTGCCAGGCCTGGCCTAGGCTAGGTCTCTCCAAGTCTTTCTTACTACCACTACCCACTACTGTATCATGCCTATTAATGCCATACCCAAGTAGTAACCCACATTAACTGAATAATAAAACAAACCTCTTACCTCCATAGTGGATAATACTGCTAAACTACCTTCCAAGAATGTATAAACTGACCATCATGAATTCAAAAACACAGTACTCAACTGAAGTGACCAATCAGAATTGAGTGCAATTCGAGATACTTCCTGGTTCTCTAGTATCAGGTTAACTGTCTGCTGATAGACAACATTATTTTGCTCTCAATCCCAAGATGGATATGTGTCACGGTAGGCAGATTAAGTTTAGGGAAACTGCAGTCCCCATCGGGTAGCGCTCCAACCCTCCCCCCACCCCGGTCGGGGAGGAAAGCCACAATTCGTTTAAAATAAAACAAAAATGTATTTTCTACAAAGTCTCTTATACACATCTAGATGTGTATAAGAGACAGCCCCACCCTCGTCGGGGAGAAAACAGCAATTTGTTTAAGATAAACACATATGTATTCTCTACATAGGCAGATTGGGTATTGGGTAGACCAGTTGGATCAACTGGACCTATAATGTAGACCAGTTGGACCAACTGGACCTACTGGGTAGACCAGTTGGACCAACTGGACCCATTGGGTAGACCAGTTGGACCAACTGGACCCATTGAATAGACCAGTTGGACCATTTCAACCAGTTGGCACTACCAATTGGACCAGTTCAACCAGTTGGATAGGCCAGTTGGACCAGTTAAACCAGTTCGGGAGACCAGTTGTACCAGTTGGAATTCTAGTTGTACCAGTTGAATTTCCAGCTGGACCAGTTGAAAACCAGTTAGACCAGTTGGAAACCAGTAGGACCAGTTGGGATTTCCAACTGGTCCCAACTGGAATTTATACCTGGGGAATGATAGAGTTGTGGTGTAGACTGAAATGTATCATTGCGCAGTAGGCTAGCCTACATTTTCCAAAGCGACTTCGATATCTCTAGAGGGCGCAACAGGTCAAGGGGTCAATCGGGACAAAATGTGTTCATGTTGCAATGTTCCATAGCGATGTCAACAGGTACGGTGGTAGAGTAACATTGAGTGTCGTAGATTTTGTTCTATATTCGCATTTATTATACCTGATTGGTAAGTTTTATATTTTATATATTTCTTATGTCCATCCTGTAAGTGGCGATTTTTGTTGGTTTGGAAATAAATAAATTAATAAAGGTGTTGACAAAACTGCTGTTGTTGAATATTATTATCAAAGGTGGTAATATCCAATAAGTTTTTATTCCGAACATATGGTGAGTTCATGTTAACTGGGTTATTTATAGCTTGAATGGACATTGCCCAAAACCCTACACTTCCCCCCCCCCACCCACCGGTTTGATCCAGACATGGCATGCCGAAACGTATTAGGCTCTACCAAGAATACCAGAAAGTACACAGACATATTTTTAGCTATTAACATAGCTTCCAGGGCACGCACTAACACTGACCGCTGACCAGATCTTGGTCAGCGGTCTTTTATCAAGGTTAACGATACTTTAAAGAGTTTTTATGTATCAATGAAATGTATAGGACCTACCAATGAATTTGCAGTCGAAAATATACGCAGATTCAGCGATTTTTGCAGAGAAATACTCGGTCAGTATTTCTGAAAGTTCACTGACCAACTTCCAAAAGCGACCATTATAATAATATTTCCGAACACTTTTTTCACTAAATACCAATTTTTTAATGACAGACGATTTCAACAAGCAGAAAACAAAGCATTTAGAAAGGTTTCTTCACATTTTCGAAAAATACAGGCCCGTTTTAGACCTAGATCTACCATCACTGAAGTGACTGACTGAAGGGTGACCGACAATGCGACATGACTGCAGATTCGGCTGCAAATTCATCAGTAGGTCCTATGTATATTTCACTGATACATAAAATCTCCCATAAATATCGTTAATTTTGGTAAAAGAGAAAGTGAAACCCAAATTGACCAAGATATGTTCAGTAGTCAGTGTTTTAGTGCATGCCGCTGCCAGCCTTTAGAATTTACAATTTAGCCGTAGTCATGAAAAAAAACAAAAAAAAAAAAAACTGACTGCATCTAATTTTGTTCCGACTTGCCCACCCCGTAGCCGGTTGCAGGTGATTTCTCACACTGTATGATACCAACGTAGGCCTAGGTAATAGGCCTATTTTTGTCATGTTATTTTTTACCTGAATCCACAGAATCCGCAAAATCCACAGAATCCGCATTTTAGAAATGGCTCTTGTAAGGCCTGCTAGAATGGGGTAGCCCAGAGCCGTAGAAAGAGAGAGTTTGGCCAACTCGGTTTCACGGGATTCTGCTACGCGCGTGTGATTGAGTGGATCGCAATCACATGACATACACCGGCCATGTTGTCACCAAAACAAAACATTGGCCAATGGCGAGCCACAGACTAACGCGATAAGATAGGAAGTTAGCAGTTATGATAAATGATTAATGCATGTGAAATACCGTTATGTTTGGTTTGGGGTTGCTGCAATCAAAGGAACAAAGATGTATCAATTTCCTAAAATTCCAAAAAGGAGGAGGATGTGGGATTTATTTAAACTTTGCATGGCGATCGAAAAATCTCGCTATCCACGTAGTAAATTAAGGCATGTACCGCCCGCGAATTTTTTTTTTCGTGAAGAGCCAAGCATAGGGAAACATATAACGAGCTCTGATTGGCTAATGATAAGATGAAATCATCGCACAAGTTGGCAAAAGAGTCAACCAACTCGCACTCGAATACGGATACGGTGCGAGTGAGAGTGATCTCAAGAAAGCTAGTATAGGTTTGATTCACCGATTGCAGACTATGGTTTTCTCAGAGTAAGTTTTCACTATTATTACTGCATACGTAACCCACAACGATCAAGGTGAAATTGTAAGGAGGGATGCATCTCATGACTCTATCTAGGCCCAGCCTTGGCAAGGCCTACCCTTGGCGTAGTTGGAAGATGGACCTACACTCCTATCCCATATCATCAATCATGATGCAAGAAAGATCAATGCAACACTTATACACTAGGCCTAGTTAGCATGACAAGTTTGCCTTCTTTTTTCTGAAGAAGTACCTAGCAGAGCAACCTGTTTAGGGCCCAAATAGTCTATTTTCCCCTTATTCCTACACCTCAATACTGTAATATAATAATTATTAATAAATAAATACCCTACTACCAAACTTTACTACTACTAGGGCTTAGACCCAGGCCTAATGTCCACAGCTCTATAATACTTTAAATATTAAAATTATAATTTTAAAATTATAATGTTATACTTGACTAACAGCAAACTTGGCAAACTTTCTTTATTATACAGTTGCTTAAATTATTGGTTGTTTTTTTTTTTTACCATTTTAATTTTTCTATTTTGTTAAACATTTTAACTGTCTAGTTTTTTTTTTATTATATGACCCTATATATCCTTTTTAATGAATATTATGTAACACAAGTAACATGCAATTTGGTCTTTGGCCACCTTATAATATTGTTTGAGATGTGATGTTTGATAAAAATAAAGTAATATTTTTAAATATCAACCAACCTACAAATAAGTAGCAACCCAGGTTTTTTTGATAAAAAAAATTCTTCAAACTGCTGATATTGTTATGTCATGACATAATAAATTGATGCACAGTACAGTACAAATAAATACTTGAATCTGGTGTTTTGTTTTTTTTTTTGGTCTATGAAATGATACCACAGAGTGGGAATTTGGCCTTTTGGGGTGCTTCTGGATGGAACGCTGACTGATAGACATTTCTAATAGCAGAATGCAAGCATCTCATCACTACCTTCAACACAGCCAATTCCAGATGAATGCCTAACAAAAATACATGAGCAAATGTACAAAGTAAAAAGCCAGATGTTGTCTATACATGTCAAAATAATTTATAACATTTAGGAAAGACACAGTTGGGTAATGGAAGGTTGTGCGAAGAGAACATTCTACTGAAAATGTTCCACTGAGTACTTCTTCAAAGCAAAAAGAAAGAAAGTCTCCCATAACCTAGTGTATACAGAAAACTAAAAGCTTGAAAAAACTAATAGTTTAAACAGTACCACTTCGGAAAAATAGATATTGCATTATTTATTTTTGTGATTGATTGTACTAATGATCACACATCTACTTTTCTGACTCTTCTGTCTATTATATTTCTTACTGTATTTGTTAGCTAATATTTACAAACACATTTAAGGGTTGCATTAATTTATTAGCAGTGAATTATCTCTGTTAATTTACACTTTATTATATCATAAGCTGGTTTTATTATTTATAATTCGAGAAAAAAAGAGAACAATAAAGAAAAAATAACTTAACAGATTTAATATTATTGACTATTTTATAATTTACTTGCTTCAATTTTTTAAGATGTGCAATTTTGTGAGAGTGTAATTGCACAAGGAGAGAGCAATATATATACTGTACAGTAGTGAAGAAAGTTGACTTTCCAGCTTAGATTTATACATTTAAAATACAGATACAAATACCAACAATATACGTTTTATGTTTAATAAAATAGACACCATCAATAAATAATATTCGTACTGCACAGATTCAGAGGAAGAAAAGATAAATTAAAGTGGTGCAATACACTAACTTTTATTAATAACTATTATTAGATTACTGTTGCTGTCGTGAATACTAAATTTTGACAGCTTTACTATCATTATACACTATTTGTATATCGTTTTTGACTACCATTAACAGAAATACAGACAGGTAAGTAAAGGAAGACTTTTCGAATAATATTACTGTGCCTTGTTTAGTGAACGTATTTTTGTAGAAGCAGTCAGAGGGAGGAAAGAATTATTTAGCAAAATGATTTTGCCAAAAGCAAAGTGAAGGACAAAATGAAAATAAAATTTTCATTGATATGAATTGAAACAAGTGTTGTAATGAGATTGATAAATGCATTAAATTTATCTAATTTGTGAATATTCCAGGGGAGTGAAAGCCATAATAAAAATATGTAACAGGGTGCATTAACTATTCGAAATCGCTATTTAAACAAGGTACAGTATAACATATCTTGCCTAAAAGTCTGTGATCCCAGGGCCTACTAACTCTATGCAAGAGAGGCCCTCTATGCAAACGACCTCGTTTGTACCAATAGTAGGCCCTACTACAGTGTTTCTAGGCATGTTGGTTGCAGTGGGTAGGTGGGGAGCTAACGGTGGTTTTACTAGACTACAGTATATTCAAAATTGACTTGGGGCCCGATCGTCCACACCAGTTGGGCCCGATCGTATGTCACCCGAAGTTGTCACCGCAAAATCGTACACGATCTAAGCCCCAGGCTAAGCTAGCCTTGCTTGCGAAATTACTCTCTTAACAACACAAGTATGTACACTGTGTAATAAAGCGACCCATGCGGTGCATTCTTAAATCATTTCACACATTATTTAAATGTATTTTACGTATTTGACGATAACACAAAATCACTGATTAGATTATTATTAACGATACGAGGATATACAGTACTCTTTCAACCACCATCACATGGCATCGGCCCTCGTCTTTTAGTGGAAAACCTTAAGCTAGTTATAGTGGTGTCTTCATATTAGTCTACGTCATACAGCGCTGCCTGCATCTACCACGTTAAAATAACAAATACAAATAAAAAAAATAATTTGTGAGGCAAATTTGCAGCAAGACTACTCATACAACAACAAAATAAGCGTCGCATGGAGTTAGCGAAAAATGGAGCTCAAATGAAAAACGATGTATTTTAGCAATTACTTAAAACTTTTTTTGATTTTTCGCCAAAATGGCTAAAAATCCAAAATACTTTTCGCCCATTTGGCAATCGGTTACCGTGAGCCAAGGCTTTCGTTGTTTGCATTTTTTCCCACATTGACCTTTTGAATGTACATTGTACACACTGTTATTTTTACAATCATTCCATAAAGTTGCATATTCAAATTGCAGATTAAAGCTCATGCAGCTTCTGAAATTCAAGTGGATGAAGATTCTACCACCAAATGTATCGAAAACTTCATGGCTGTTTCTGCATCAGTAAGTCCATCACACAAAATGTATGTAACAATGCATGTGACGAATATATAGGCCTGCTCCAAGTACTGAAATGTATGCCATTGTGTAGCGATTCAATATTTCGACATTAATTAATGTCATTCCTGATGATGATATAATTAATGTCGAATATTGAATCCCTAAATGATGGCGTACATTTCAATACTTGGAGTTTGTATTATACTATCTTATCTAAGATTAATCAGTGGACCAGCTTTTGTTAAACATGTCAACACTCCAGTGAACAATCCCACTTGAAAATTGAGTCAATATAAAGGTGGAACTGACATCCGGAATTCTGTAATTTTTTTTCTGATTTTTTTTTTAAATTAAATGTTTTCTACTGTTTGAAAATTACAGGTAGAATTTAATGCTTTTGTGAAAGTACCAGCTGCAAAAAAAAAATAAATAAATAAATAAAAACATAAATATGCATCTATCAGTTTATCAGATTTAACCAAGCTATATAATGTTCTTTCTTTTAGTGATGATTAATTATACAATACATTCATGCCAATTTTAGGTACCAGAAAGTGAAAATTCATACTTGGAAGATGAACTCATGCAGACACCAAATGCTCTAAAACAAAAACAACCAACATCAGAAGGGCGTCCTCTCAAATCATCATCATTATTCGTAAGTAAAAATACACTGGTGGAGTTCGATAAGCCTGTTATTTAAAGGTATACTATCTGCCAAAAAAATGAAAAAAAAACCCCTTACAAATTCAATTAAAATTTTCTTATGTGAATTCGCCACTGTTCTCTGACCTACACTATACTGTTTAGTTTCACCTTTTTGAATCAATGTTATTTTACTGTGGTATTTCTCAAGTAAAAATTATTTGATATTGTGAGTTTTCAACTTAAGTATATGTTTAAATTTTTTTTTGTCTAGTCACCAAGGGCAATAATTGGTGCTGCTCCAGATGGATTAAAATATGTCAGTGAAATGGAGTCAGGCCTTCTCTTATTTACTACAAGGAAGGAGATCGTTCGGTTGTTAGGTTCATGGCTGATTGAGAAATTTTCTCCTGATGAATGCAAGTAAGGATTACTTTCACTGGACTATGTAGCACTTATCCAGTTTTAATAGTACTGTATTATGACTCTAAGCTTTATGTTGAGTATCACTTATTCTTGTAGTCTAATTAAGGAAGAACTGAGTGCAAATTTGCTAGACAAACAATGGTGCAACAGAGCACATCATATGGTGCTTTGATGTGAGTGTGTATGTTATCCTAATTTTTTTTTATATAAACAGTAGCTACTTTTGTTTGGATTAAGCCAAAAGTACCCATTAATTCCCAAAAGTCATCTATCTGGCTTTCAGGTCACATTTGTGACAACAGTCCAGAGGAATGCCGGATTATGCAACTGTATCAAGAAAGACTGTTATACTAGTATGATACTTCAAATTATCCTTGTACAATATTTATTTCACAGGCCACCATTTCATGCAAAAATTAAGCGTGCTAAAGCTCTCATTGAAGAGTTCCCGCTGCTTCGAGACAGTGATAGAGCAGAATTTGTAAGTAGATGTACAATATTTCCATATGGCCACATACAAAATTATTGCTTAACAGGCTAAATTTTGTTTAAATAGTGTAAAGTTAATTAGAGGTTAAACAATACTTATATTTTGTATCGCAAGAGAAATAAGAAAATTCAATGCACACACATTGATGTTGATGCAAAGCGCAACCCCCATAGTGGAGTGCATGTCTTATACTGCATGTCCTAAATCTCATAACTTGATACAGTATCTTTTCAAAAAATGAATATAACTTAGCACCTTAATTGTATAGGATAATGTTACCAATTGCAACATTTGTCTTTACTATAATAATAGAAAGATACAATTTGAAACTGAAAATTGTGATACTTTTGTTTATTTGGTGTGTACTATTTTATGTTTTTCTAATAGGAAGCATGGTATTCACCTGCAAAGGGAAAAAAAGAGGCCACTGGGTACATTGAGTACGGAATAAAAAATGTCCGCAGAAGAGCTCTTAAGAAAGCACCAGTTATCAAAACGTTCTCACCTGCTTCATCATTAGAGAGTAGTTTTGTTGAAGACTTAGCAGGTAAACTGTTTTTTTAAAATCTTTCATATTAACAAGACAGAAATCCCATACAAGGAATATAGCTAGGCCTACGCGGTGTGATGTGGAACTTCTTTAGTTTTAACTAGTTTGACAAATTATCATCACTAATGTTGTTAAGATTCTGAATTCAACCTCAGTTTACTAAAACGCAGTAAGGTTTAAGTCATGAAAAGGAACAGTGTTGTTTTAGGTCCATAGCAAATTACGGAGGCCAGCAGTTATTTTCTAATGTGAATTCGCCACAGTTCTCTGACCTGCACTATACTGTTTAAAGTTTCACCTTTTTGTAACTTTGGGAAAATGTACTTAAATATCCTCCTCAGGTGATAAAGATGGTGAGGATGTGTTGGAAAAAAAGGAATGGCTGAAGTACAACACTGAACCAATAAAACTAGTTGACAATTACATGGCAGCTACTGCTAAGCATCGATGTCAGTGGATTCGTGAAAATACTGATATTCCTGATCGATTCTGAATGAATATCCACGGTCATTGCTTCTTGACGGAAAGTATGTAAGTAGTCCAAATTAATATTAATAAAAAAAAAACTGAACATTCGACCATATTTAACAAATTTTTCAAATTCTTGGCCATAAGAAAAATTTACATTAGGCGTATTCGACTGGTCTGTTTTGAGCAGCTCTTTCTACTCAAACTGCACATGTCGTATTCGACTGGTCGCACGAGCAGCACGAACTCCTCACAAGAGCAGCTCAAACTCCTCGCTGTTTTTAACGAGCACAACGAGTACACTCTGAGTAGTAGATCAATTGTTGGAAAAGGACCAGTCTAATTCGCCTATTGACAAAGTAGAAGTTATATGAAAATTATTCATGCAAATTGTATTGTTTGTTGTCAGATCAGTCTAGTCTAGTCTAATCTAGTCATTGCCAATGCAGATGATATCTTAAAGAGATTTGGCTGTTGCAAGAAATCTGGTCAAACATTAAAGCATCGCCAGTGTTAACACACTGTGATTTGATTAGGCGCACTCTATGGGCGGTCTCCAGATACTCCATCTTGGATTGATCGGACCGTTGTTTTGTTGGCTGTAATAAAGCTTTGTTGTACACTACTGCTAGTGTGTCCGATTGTAGTCTTTGTACTGTGGTTGTTTCTTTTCCCCACTGGCGTGGTAGCAGCTTCAAGAAACGTTCCCATCCACGGTACTGGTGAGTTCCTATGCCCATTGTTGAGCTAGGCCTTTTCGTCAATCACTGTACATTGACTATCGCTCCACCGTGCGTCCATCGGTTCTTGATTCCCTTTCAAGTGAAAGCACTAGCTGTCTAGGCCTGTTATTGTGTGGCAACTATGGCTGCTATGCGAGCACCAAAGCAATGGAGTCTTACAAAGACGGAGACTATTAACACATTTGAAAATTGGAAACAGAATTTAGTTTATACCTTAACACTAGATGCTAACTTTGGCCCATTCCTGTTAGATGGCTCGTCCTGGAGCCCCAAAACGAAAGCTGCCCCACTCGGGGGTTTCACCGACGACGGTGCTGACGTTCCCGAACAGCGGCGTCGTACGGCCCACCAAAAGGTCACTATCCTGGAGCCTATGCTGGGGCAAATTGCAAATTATTGTCCTGTGATTTCTCGCAACACCATTGTTAAAAGTTCCACTTCCTTGTCTCAAATATGGCAAACCATCAGGTTACATTATGGGTTTCAGTCCACCGGTGGACATTTTATTGATTTTGTGGACATCCACCTAGAAGATAATGAACGCCTAAGGACTTATATCAGCGTCTTCTTGCATTTATTCATGATAATTTGTTAACGCAAGGTGGCGGTATTTCTTATCGTAACCAGGTAGTTGAAGAAGACGAGGAGCTTTCCCCCTCTCTGGAAAATATGGTGGTCCTTATGTGGCTCTCTCTAATACATAAAGGCCTTCCAAAGATAGTTAAACAAAGGTATGGCACAGAACTTCGTACCAGAACACTTGCGTCAATTAAACCTGAAATCTCACAAGCTATTGATTCCCTTCTAGAAGAGTTACGTACAGCCGATGACACACGCGTCTTGCGTGCAGCAGCTGCACGCCCAGCAAGCATACCCCATCGGGCAAAGGTCTCGTCGACCGTTCCAGCCTTCACGTTTTCAACAACCCAAAACGTGTCCTATCTGTAAACAGTGCGGTCGTTCAGACGATCGACACTTTCTTAGTCAATGTCCACATTTGCCCGAGTCAGATAGGAGGTACATTGCCAAAGCCCGACAGATCGTTGACATTATCGATGATAGTGCAGATTCTGTCGATGACCCAGTTAGTGACGCATTAGAGTCTTCTGCTCTGAGAGTTCAGGTCAGACAGTCCCCATATCTAGACGCGTTTCACCAACATCATACCGTTCGAATCACAGTCGACAGTGGGGCAACAGGTAACATGATATCAGTTTTCACAGCCACTGCATTTGGTGCATCCATCAAAACTAGCTCCCAGTCCGCCCATCGGGCAGAGGGATCATCCCCACTCATTGTCATAGGCGAAACTTCTATTGTGTTTACTAGGGACGGCAAGGAATTTAAATTTAAAGGTCTTGATGTCGAGAAACTCGATGTGGACGTACTCGCGGGCACCCCATTTATTGAGTTGAATGACATAGCCATTCGTCCAGCTAGGAGACAAATAATTCTGGGCGACGGAACTACCTATTTATATGGGTCTCGTCCTATACATCCTAGTCCTCCTAGCGTGCACCGCGCATGCGTTCTGCGCCCTCCAGAGGGAGAAACTACTATTTGGCCTGGCGACTTTATTGAGTTAGATTTACCACCTGACTTCTCCCAGAATGATGATGTTTTTGCTCTTGAGCCTCGTGACACTTCTGCACTTTTAAGATCCTGGCCCCCGAACGACGTTATTTCTAGTGTAGCTGGTAGAGTCCGTATCCCCAATTTTACCAACAGGCTCCAGGTTGTAAAGCGACATGAGCATTTCTGCCAAGTTCGCCCAACCTATGTCCCACCAGCGGAGAACTCTACACCGCCTCCAAGTTACATAGCTAAGCCTATTTCTGTTTCGGCTCATTCTGATAAAGTTAAGTTGGACCCAGATAATATTGTACCCCAGGATATAAAATCAAAGTTCCATTCTGTCCTTATCGAGTACGACTCCGTCTTTGACCCTGTGATTAAGGCATACAACGGCTCAGTTGGTCCATTTCAGGCAGTGTAGTCAACATGGGACCCGTTCTGCCTCCTCAACGAAAGGGTCGAGTTCCTCAGTATTCTCGTGACAAGTTGGTTGAGTTGCAACACAAATTCGATGAACTTGAGCAAATGGGTGTTTTCTTTCGCCCAGAAGACGTTGGTGTCCAGGTGGAGTATTTAAACCCTTCTTTCTTGGTCAAGAAGGAAAGCGGTGGTTTCCGTCTTGTCACAGCATTTGCTGAAGTCGGACGTTACGCAAAGCCCCAACCCTCACTAATGCCTGATGTTAATTC